GGAAAGTCGAACTGGTCGATTGTAGACTGGAATGTAGTTGTGAGGAATGATGTTAAAGTGGGGGTCAAAAGTTAATTAATTGGAAAGTCGTTCAAATGGCAGAGAAAATCGAAAAAGTTGGACGGAAAGTAGGAAATGTTGCTGGAAACTCGTAAATGTTGACTACAAAGTCGTTAAAATGTGGTGGAAATTTCATTGGAAATTCAGTTGATTTGAAAGTTGTAACTATCGACTGAAAAGACAAACGTCTTGGTTACAAAGCCGAAAAAATAGATGAATGAATAGACATATAAACTAGGCAGCAAGGTTTTGGTCTAAAAGACTTGTAGTCGAAAAACGTTATATACATGTAAGCTATACAAGTCGAGCAATTGTTGTAAAATATGTCCGAAGAGATCAGCAGTTGGTTGCCTTTTTCAATAGATTTTAGACAATGGAAGATGTAAGAAATGGAGTTTGAAACTTAAAAGGTAAAATGAGTTGTAGTAAAAAAGTTCAAGATCACATTTTAATCTCACATGCGTTTTTTTTTTCATTACAGGCAATAAAACACAGATTACCAAAATTAGTTGAACATTTCAACATTTTATTTTTTATCAAAATAAGTATGCAAAAATTATAATTTACTACAATTATTTATTACCGAGTGTAATCTAGAAAAATTTCAGTAATTTCTTTAATTCTAAGTCAAGGCTAGTGCTCAAACAAGCAAGGTGTTGATATTACGTCCCAGAGTACATTGATGTCTTCACACTAGCCTGTATGCATGATGGTTTTAACCATCGTTCACAAAGGTTATAAAATAACTTTCATCATTAAAAGCTCATCTATTTATCCAAACCAGTGATCAGCAGTACAGTTAAGATTCCATTCTTTCTGACAAATCCAGCACCATTCAAAATTGCAGTTGGGACGTGGACATGCCATATGCATACAACCACCTGATGTATGGTTAAACAGAACAAGAATGAAATCCATTAAAATGAGATTTATGCTTATGAATGGTGGATATTTAGAAGGAAAGACAACCTCTAATAAACATATTTATACAATTGAACAAAACCAATAATACGTTGAATATTTTACCAATTCTACTTACCAGTATTCGTTTTGCAGCTTTTGTTATCTTAAATATATCAGAATTGTAAACACTATGAATACGTCCAAGGACGTTTATTTCTGTATTCATTTGCATGTTGGAATATCTTTCCCTGAATACAATTTACCAACAATTTATAGCCACCACTAAGCACATTTGCTGATATCAATATATTTACGATTTTACCACATTGGTGACATTTTACTAACTTCGACAGAAGTAATTCTATCAGCAATTTTTTTACTCATTTTATTTTTATTTTTATATTTTGAGAACTGTTTTATTGATGAAACCAATCCTGTGCATAATCTAAATGAAGTTAGGAATGTCAGTATTAATTATTAGTATATAGCAAAAATTAATATTCACCAAATTCTAAACAGTTATTCGAAAAAAGAAGTATTGTCATCAAATGAGCTATGTTTTGGTATCTTTGGAAATGACATGACAATTTTCTGTTGAGTGCATCGACCAATTGCCCATTGTTGATGGATATCCAATAAGCCATATCAAATAGAACAGGCATGATAGGACAAATCCAAATAATCAGCTCAATATGTAAAATAGGACTAAAAAAATAATGGTGCAAAATTATTTTAACTATATTGAATATAGCATCTTGGTCTGTCAAGGAAGCTGAAAATTGGTACATGCACAATCTCTATGTCGACCAATAGCAGGAAAGTTTTTATAATTAGTAAAAATTACCAGCTCAAATTCAAATGTTGCTTCACATGAATGTGATGATACTACTCATTTGATTGACATTAAAATCATTATTAATATAACCAATTAAATGGCAATGTTCATTTTATAAATACATTGTAAGGATATTCTACATTGGAAAAATGCGATGAAAGTTATTGTACACTAACACTTACTATTCCTTTCAACAGGGACTTTACACTTAGGGCATGGTTTGGTGGTTTTTCTTATCGTTTCCCTTGCTTCCCTTTCCCATCTTGCTCTCTCAGCCTGAACAGGATCAATGAGGTCTCCAGCTGTGGCACCCCCTGATGGATTTTCCAATTGCTGATAACACTCCCCTGAATGGTATTCTAGTAAACAATGTCTACAGAATAAAAACTGTTAAGAGTAAATAATAATTAAATGATAATCAAAGGAAAGTAGATGTTATGAAATAAACTTAATTATGCAATTATGCCATATTTACCGGTACTCTAATAGAAGCTTGTGAACTCATTTTTATATTCATTATTTTAAGGAATCAACAAGAAATCTAAAATATAACTTTTTACCAAAAAATACAAAAATACTCATCAAAGATATCATCACAAAATGAACAAATCTTTGAGAGGTCTACCCAAGGTACATATACGTCGAGTATCAAAGCAATCAGGCTTGTAGTTTTCAAGAAGAAGCCAAAAAGTAAAACATTGACACAGACGATGGTGGACAATCACTTGTATGATAAGCTCCGCTCGACAAAACCGACAGCGGAGCTAAAAACAAATCTTGAATTTATGAAAAATACCCATCAGTGTTCTAGTAGAGACATTAGATTAAATGTATGTAAACGAATACCTTGCATGTTTTACAATGTATTTTCCTTATTTGCATATCAGGTATGGACAATCCTTCACCACATCCAGCATTAGGACACAAGGACATCACCACTTTGCAATAAGCATTCCTCTGTGGCAAACCTGTGATATTTTTCATACTATGGAGATAAGCATAGACCAAAGACTTGGGAATTGAGTTATTGACGAAAAATAAACACTGACAAACACTCACAGACAACCAAACTGAAAGTTGATACGAAAGAATCAACTGGGTTTAACAGAGCAAAAAATGTTACCATGGTAACAACCATTAAGTATTTGCTCATTTGTATAGTTGTCCGAGAGTTATAAAGAGTTTAGGCATTTATAAAATCCCAAATATACAATGTGTAATCATTATATTTGTATATGTATCTCTGCCACCATGAGATCTTATGCTTGTAGTGAATTGCCATGGTGATGTCAGATTTTTAAACCCGACGAAAGCATACAGGATGTTTGCAGAATCTGGCTGTTCTCAGAATGTGGGAATCTATTTTTTTTAAGTTCCATAGCATAAATGGGTGGCAGTAAGATAAGATAGCTGTCCACAAAGTGTTTATATTATTATTTGTTGTAATTATTTCTTTGTAAATTATAACTATTTCACCATAACACGACAAAAACATGACACAAGAATATGCTTAAAGCGATGAAGTCGTCACCTGCGCATGCCTCAGATTGCCGAAGCATGTCATTGTTTACAAACAAGTGTCTACCCATGAGCCTTTACATTTTTAGCGTGAGTTGCTATCATCGCTTAGAACTGAATTCCCGCATATGCGCAGGTGACGACCCTCTCGCTTTAATAAATGCACTACAAAATGGCAGTGTGTGGTGGCAGAGAAACTTTCAGTGTTATAACTGTACGAAGCGTTGGGAAGAAGAATGAGTCTGTACATACCTGTTGTTGTCCCATTAACCTGAAATGATGAATTTCTTGGATAAAAGAGTTTTCACATCCAGCTGAAAACAAAAGCAAAATAAACTTAATATTGTTATGTTCAAAATAATATGTCAAGGAACAGTGACTAACAGGCAATACGGGATTTAAAATATTGCTTTCACACACACTTCATTGCGTATACTTTTTTTCAGCATGTTGGAAAATGTTGAGTCAATACAATTGCTGAATATGTATAGATTTAATTAGTTTAAAAAAATAATAAAAACAAGCCATGCATGGCACAGTCCCTGTTAGTTATCAAATTTAAGATATATAGTTTTGTTTGTAGTAATATAGTTAGAACATAGACATGTCAGAAGTATGGATCCAGAAGATGATACTTGATTACCGGGGGGTATGATGAATTTCTAACATTAAAATGATTGACATCTTGTATCTGATCGTCAGACGAGTACTTGTCTATATTGAGAAATATTGCTCTGGAACAGCATTAATTAAAACAAAATGGCCACCAGTCGATCATTTTGAATATGTATAACATAATGTATAATGAATTTATAAAATTTGAACGTAATCAGTAAAATCATGGCAGAGATATGGCACTAGAACTGCATTCATTAAAACAAAATGGCCACCCGTCGGTCATTTTCAATCCAATCTGAAAAATAAAATGAGGTGCATCAAGGTCCCATAATGTCCAATGTATGTACCAAGTTTAAACAAAATCCATCCATAAATGCTTGATTTTGATGATTTTTTAGCACAAAAATGGCCGTCACCCGGCCATCTTGAATCAGATCGTGAAACAAATTGATGTGCAAATGTATAATATTATGTATGATGCATGTGTGCAGTTGGATTGTGATTGGTCCAGGTATGTCTAAGATACAGGTCTGCATGCACGCATGGATGCATGGACAGGGGGACTAATTAAAATTTGTGTTCACTATGTCAAACAAAACATACTGAAATAGTTAATAAGTATGCAAATTAGCTCATTAACAATCACATATTATTGTAAAATCTTAATTGGAAGCTGCAACTTTTATTAAAATGGTACAATGCAACAAATGGGATGCATCACATATAGGAGCATGTAAACATATGAGAAATGTTGAAATTTTTTGTTCTCAATTGTTCAAAAAGAACGGGTGCAGATTCCATTATCTGGATTTAATCAGATGTAATATTGCTTGATTTAAGCATCTCACACACTATATTTTCAAATCAATATATTTGAGTATATCAGCATAGACCAGAATATAACATTATATGATCTTACCGACACATCCAATTGTGTACCCATACTGTGGTGTCTGTATAAACTGTCGCTCGTTAAGTTTTGTTGAAGAATAACTGGTAAAACATGGTATGCATATTGCATGGCTTTGTTGGCATGGAAATATCAACACTGGATCACTACAAAAAATATAATAGAACTTATATAAGCCTTGCCTGTATTAAGACATTCTTTGATGCTTTATAGGTTGTTTCAAAAATGATTCAGATATTTAATATGCAAATCAGCTAATTAACTTATGCAGTTTAATTACAAAATAACGTTAGACATTCAACAATATATCATATAATGTTTAGCCCATTTGAGCAATTAAACTGTTACTAGGATATTAACATTCTGAAAGTAGTTAATTATTACACAAATTACCTAATTTATATGCACACATTTGTACCAAAATATTACCAGATCTAGAATTGACAAGTCATTGAAAATGACACAGTCCCCGTTAAATTTTTGAAAGTTCTCTTTGTGCCTGTCATATTAAAGCGGAGGGGTTGTTGTTGTGCATATGTCCCACATAAGGTACTAGGCACATGCAAAGAATGAACGGAATCGGTCCACAGGATTCTGAAATATAACTCTGGACAGACTGACGCACGGACGAACGGACACGCGGATGGACGGACGGACAGACTCAGGAACTCACAGACGGCCGGGGACATGTATCCTAACATGTATGATCTATGTACTAAATTTGAATGAAAACTGAGCATGTCCAAAATACAACATTTTCAAAAAACAAGATGGCTGCCAGTCGGCCATCTTTGATCCAATTGTGAAATAAATCGTCATGGACAAGTATCCTAACATGTATAATCTATGCACCAAGTTTGAATGAAAACTGACAAAGCATGTCCAAAATACAACATTTTCAAAAAACAAGATGACTGCCAGTCGGCCATTTTGAATCGAATTGCTAAACCACTGCATGTGCATATGTCCCACATAAAGTACTAGGCACAAGCAAAGAATGAACGGAATCGGTCCAAGGGATTCTGAGATATGACTCCAGCCGGACGCATGGACGCACGGACGAACGGACGGAGACCGAATTATAAGTCCCTGTTTTCGGACTTCGTATCCGAGTATCAAATTGAATCCCAATTTACCTGGTAATTGATGAGATATTGGTGAAACAAGATTTGACACACACACATCAATACAGACACACATAAGTAGGACATTAGCCACCATGTGTGCTCCATAAATGGGAGCCAAAAAAATTGACAATGACATTTTACAGAAGATAAATATCTGACAAAATGTTGTATATGGATTTATAACACAAGAGTGACAAATCTAACTTCAGAATTTCAGATTTTGTTTTCTTAAATTCCTTGATATATATATTATATATTAACTGTATTTACTATTAATGGATTTCATGTTGCAATTTACACGGTAGGTTTTAATTTCACAGGTATATGAAGTAAACAATACATTCTTTTGTTAAATTTGCATCTTTAGCAATCTTTGATTTACTGTACTGTATATCTACAGCTAACAGCGGAATAACAAACAATAACCCATGCTAATAATTGTACAGCACTTTCAGATTTACATCATTACAATTTTCAAAGAACTTCAGGAAATACTAAGCACTGTACTGACAAAGAGAGACAGAAAAGAGAATATATAGTACCTTGTATCTGTACAAGTTATACAGGAAACATGTTGTGTATTCGTCTTAATTAAGTACAAAACCGCAGCTCGTTCCATTAGCGATGTCTTGTGAGAGGCACATTTGAAATAAAACTCCTGTAAATGAACAGACATAATAATCAGTCATCAGGTAGCACAATCTAGCCTTGTTATTGTTAATATATGGGATTGTTGCACTTGTATGTAATCTTGCAATAAAGACTACCGGCAATTAAATAAATAAATAATAAATCTGAGACAATCTGTGGTGATATCACTATTTTATGAAATGCTATATTTATTAGAAAAATGGTTAGTTAGCAGGGATGAAAGCACACAGCTTGGTCAGATTATTTCATGGTTTGAACCCACAAAGCATGGATCAAACATTTAAACATTGAAGAAAAAGATTTCTGATGCAAATAAAAATTGCTCCAGCATATATTATGACTTACATAAAACAAATTTAATGTGTAAAAACATCTTTGAAAGAAAATTGGTAGTTTGAATACTAGTAGACCCACAAGTAGAGATTGGTTCTGAGATATCTCCTCTAAAAATTAAATGACATCCCATTTTTCGTAACACATTTTTACTCACGGCTGTATTTCCATGACAACCATCTGACTGGCATGTACCATGAATTCTCATTGGTCGGAGCACATCATCCCAGCAGGTCGGGTCCTAGAAATATATTCAGAGTTTTACTATTTTGCAGTAACAATCAAAACACAAGATTTAAAAAAAGTGTATTTTAGTTTTTCATATATTACCATACATAACAAAACTATAATATCTAAAATAAACTGAAATAAAATGCATATAAACTGACATAACATGCCCACCTGCATGTTACTGCGAGTTCAAAATATCACTCAATGTTAAACACTGAGGGCGCTGTCTCCCATTATGATGTCATGCACATGCTTTAGATAGTAATTTTTGTAAAATTGGTATGTTTTGAATACGTGTTTTAGCAGTTAGTTTAATCATTTTAATTCCTTCTGAGGAATTTTAAGTGTTTCAATAAACTATTTACTATTTGCAACCCAGTCTTGCTACTTCCGGGGAAAATGGTCTATGCATTAAGCTTTACTTTCACTTCAGCTTCACCAGCTTCATTCTTACCTGTTCAACAATGAATGTCGCAGCCTGGCATTGCTGACAACAGACACGTAACTTTCCAAGTCTGACATCGGCACACATTTTGCAGAAGACATAAAAATGCGGTCTGTGATCTGAAATAGAGGATTCTAGACTGGTGTAACTTTTTCTTGATGGCTTTTCTATCCCTTTGTCATTTTTAACAGTAATAATTGCATGTATGATGCTATGTTGCCGGAGATTGCATTCCTGTAATGATACAAGAATATATATAGATTACTAGATGGGACTGCAAGTTCCTCAAATTTTAGCCAGGTATATGTGGCTACCATGAAAATAGGGCAAAGTATGCACAAACGCAGTACCAAGATCGTATTGACCGATGTACTGATTGAGAGCATACATGGAGGGTATAAATTAGGGTATTTAGCGAGAGAAAATACCCAAGCATAAGTAAGGTTATTTATCTGCCCCAAATATGCAAATTTTACACAGAGAAGTATCATATTTGGTACAAAATATCTGAATGTACTGTTAGTGACCTCATTATATCATGCTTACATGAAAAATGTGCTACAAAATCGATGTTTTTATCACGTTGCTATGTAAATTTCCAATTTTCCCAACGTGTTTTCTTGAATTATACTACAAATGTACTATTTTAAGAGGTGATGTCTCAAGTTTGATTTGAATGCTATGCTGCAATGATGCGCAAAATGCACAATAAATTACCATTTTTGGCAATAATAATTTGTGTTAGTACATGTACTTGTACTTGTTCCAGTGTTTCCCTGTTTTGATCAGTTAATCAACACTCGCAATCACTATGAACAGTGCTCACAGTTATGGATCTTGATTTAGTTAGACATTTAAGCTAGTTTATTAAGTTTCGGGGCGGGATCACAGTTGGAAATCAAAATCATCTAGCTTGGTGACAATTTCGGATAGAACTAATAGAAAATACGTCATCTTCAGATTTTGAAGTCTTATCAATCGCTATAAATTATCAACCAAGTTCAATTTTGGAGCAATTTTCAAGCGTGAGTGGCGCCCTCACCAGCCGAACGGCATCAGACCTTACTGTCAGAATAGTGTACGTCTCGTCTGCAAGATCAATACTTCGAATTTGCAAAGTTCACGCCTTTTTGCAATGAGTTCAATGAATATTCATTTTGGTGGTCATGGTAACACCATCAATCATGAAATTAAGGTACTTGATATGTGAATACCACTTAAAACTTGAGACAAAGCTGTGTTTGCATTGTCGGCAAAAATCATGAACTGTTTTCAACAACTTGAAGATGATAAACATTTGGTGGAAATTTTCTAGCACTCTATCACACATTATATAAACAAACAAATAAACTCTACTGTGAATGGTTTTCTTTGATGGCTGTCACTATCTGACGTTCCTGCAATTTGATTGGTACCGACAAAAAATCATCAGGGGAAGTGAAAAACTACATTGTTCTGTCAGGCGTGTGTTGGGTTTGGAGCACTGCAGAGGACACAACTCACGCAACTTGTTTGAAATTTAACTCAAATAAAATATTTGCTTGTTTGATTGTGTGTATTTTTATTCTCATTTTAATTGTTTGTTTCTATCCACATCTGTATTGCATTTTAGTCAAAATCACAATAGGGATACGCAATTATTATTATACAGCGTTGCATAGACTACCGGTAAGCTTATTTTGTATTTTTTATGATCGGCATGAGGCCGATTGGGTGGACAAACGTGAAGCTTTGGACAGCTTATCGACGAATATGAAACTGTCTAGAAATCATGAATGTTGTATCATAGAATTTACTCCG